CGATTCCGCTGAGGCTGCTCAATCTGCGATTAGTATGATGAATGGATTCCAATTAGGTGGAAAGAAATTAAAAGTTCAGCTGAAGAGAGACAACAAACAGAGTAAACAATATTGATTCTTCGTAAAGACAGCGAGGTTGTCTACCACGTGCTTACATGGGGGGGCCTAAATGCATGACATTTATTCCATTATTAACTCATCTTAGGGTGGATTTGGGACGGTCTATGGTTAAAATTCACTACTCCATTCTGCCTGTGATTGCATCATCAGATGAAATCAAAGATACTCGTAATTCATGGTTCGGCACTGTCGATACAGTTTGTAATTTATATATTATGGAAGATTAACATTCTTTAATTGATTCTTCCAGGACATTTGTTGATTGTATGTATAATACAGTGTAATTATAAATGATCTCCTGATTCTTTTAGGTTTATTGATTTGATATTGCTGAATTTGATGACCATTCTGGTTACGTGTGTTTTCTAAAAGAAAACCATATCTAGCTCGCAGTATTGTATGTAGTGCGTTCAATCATACATCTATTTTTTTCTAGAACAAGCAGTTGAAAGAGCAAGTTTGGGAATATTTGACACTTACAATTAGAACGTTTATGCTTTGAGAGCATTAAAGGTATGCTGTTATTGTATTACGTAAATTTTGTCAAACTTCATTGGAAGCATGCTTGTGTTTGAAAAGATTAAGATCTATTTGTTTATCTGTAATTGTGTTGGGCAAGTTATAATCTTGTGTTCTTGTGCAGAAATGAAGTTAACGATGCCATCGAGATGCATATAGCAAGGACCAGTGCATACTTGAACGAGTCGGGTCGAGAAGAAAATCTCCAATCCAAGCTTCCTCTACTTAGCGTATGCAAAGATCAACACAGCTCATTTTAGCCAAACGCGCATTAAAGGTCATGAAGTTCATCTCGTTCCTTATTACTTTTCTTTTATCTTTCAATTACGAGTAGCTAAGTCTTTAAAGGTTTGGCTCATGGTGAACTCTACTTCGTGACACTCTTTATTTGAAAAACATGCCTAAAGGATCTCTCGACCTCTTCTTAGTTATTTTCTTTTTGCATTGCTTCATTTCATTTTGTCAACCAAAGTGAAGTATGAGCATACATGTAGCATTGAAAGGATTAGAGCATGCGAGTTGTAGCAATGTCTACTCGAGTGTTTTAGACGTAAAACAACCACTTCTAAGTCAGAAATAGGTCAGTACATGACTCGGTTTCATTGCATGCATACATGCAATGACGTCGTAAGCTTAACACCGATTGGTTCATACATGTGACCTTGGTGCCTTTATTTTGTAAACTCAAGACCCTTTGATCACAAAACATGTTTCCCATTTCATACAGATGACAGAGGAAGATTCATATGTTCATTCAGGTTTCTTTTTGTTTTTCCTTAATTTCTTGAGTCAATGAACCTCTTAGTCTTTGTTGATCAATTTTGATTTCTTCTCTAATTATGTGTGGTTGGTTCTTTGTAGCTTCCTTGCAAATACTATTCGTTGTAAAGTTAGGTTTCGGACGTATCAAAGGGAGTAGAATTGTGATCTGGGGTCGGCTCAAATATTTCGTTAGAATGTTCGATAAACTCGAATTATCATTGATATAAAAATAAATAAATAAATTATATCCCTAAACTTTTAAGTTTATATTCATTAAAATTTTAAACGAATAGTTTTATTTAAACTCTATTCAAAATAAATTAAATAAAATTATTCTCTCTTAAAATCTTACCAAATAAACCACTCATTAATCAAAATTGTTATTATTTTTTTGATGCTAGCCTTTTTTTTTTCTAATATTATTTCAACAAAATTCTAAGGAATAGTTCAAACTGATAAAGTTTAATGTTTTAATAAAAACCGTTATTATTATTATTTACTATTTTTTATTTTTATTTTTGTGGATCAGGAAGTCAAATTTAATTAATTTCATTATATATAATTTTTATAATAATTTTATTTATTTATGAATTCAATTATTTTTAGATCTTAGACAAATTTAGATTAAAAATGGGTATTTGAAGAATAATTCGTTTCATTTAAAAAAAAATATTGATATTTTTTCTTTGACTAAAATAAGGAAAAACTATTTTGCAATGGGTAGGTATTAACTTTATTAAATATCCAACTTTGTTTAAAGAATATTGTATAATATTTTAATAAGTTCAAGTTAGGTATTAAATTAGTTAAATTGTTATTTCCCATTAAATAATTGCATTAATAATATGAGAAAATGTGATGCGAGTAATTTACTATATTCATTTGATTGGGATGTATCATTAATATTAATCTATGAATTATAATCCAATAATTATTAATTGTATTTAAAAGTCTAATTTAAGTTTCCTAGTTTTTAAAATTGACTTAGAACAACAAAAATTAAGTAATTATGACTTTAAAAAATGACCGAATATGGTCAATGATACCTTAAAAATTGACCCAAAAATATGTTAAATTTTCACGTAACTCGTTTTTTTTACCACTGAGACTTATTTTACCTTTTGAATTTCAAAATAAATAAATATTTTAAGGAGGTCTTTCTAAAATCCCAAAAAAAAAAATGCCAAGAGAACTTTCTTATTTATAAAATAATAATAATAATAAATAAATAAATAAATAAATATCTCAATTAAATCATAAATTGTTTATATATATATTTATTGTAGCCTAACTAGTTAGGTTATGGTGTTTGAAAATTTTAATTTAATATTTAAATTATAATACTGAAAAAATAAAAAGAAAATAGATTAGAATTATTTATATTCAAAATAAAAAAAAAAATTGGTTAAAAAAGAATTGAAATGTCCGCATCTTTCCAGATACTATCATTATACCTAATTTGAAGGATTTGTCTTTTCCTGTCACATCAATATATTTATTTATTATTTATTCACAATACCAAATTAATGGATTTGTAGTATCAAAAAAAAAAAAAAAAAAAAGTTAGTGATTGAAAATTCGGGTTTCCTAATCATGTTAGAATTCTCTTAAATATGTAAAGTTCTACCGGTTGATTAAGTAGGGTTGGAGTTTGTCTTACTCAAATGAATTCGACCCGATTCACTGCATACATGCCCTTTACACCAAGCACTTCGAAGAACACTTGCCCCTATCTTATTGCGATTGTTGGCACGAAGTTAGCCGAAGCACACCCTCCATGAAAGAACTTTAGGAACGACATTGCCCTTTTTCACTCACACGATATTTCTGGAATGGGTTTTCGCTATTGTTCAAGATTCTCCACTGTTGCCCCCTCCTTCCACTAGGGAACGAGCTTTACGAACGACATTGCCTTCGTCTCGTTCTCTACGCACATCTTATTAAAAAAAAAAAAAAAAAAAACAAA